CAAGAAGTCCTTCTGTGAGATGATCATGGAGTTTATAATATAGGGTATCAGGCCACATCAAATTCTGCCCTTATTATAGCCGACGCCACCTGCAGATCCACAATGATTAACTCACCCCACAGTCTGACAAAAGTGAGGGCTAAATATAGATTTACGGGACCTAAACAATTATTGGCGGCTGGAAAAGTTGTCAGTGAGAAGAACACGCGAAATAATGTTGCATACTTACTTGTTCGGCATCGATACGAGCTGCCGTGGCCTCCAGATCGGAGCATACCGAGGACATCCTTTCTATTGTCACGCGAAGGCGCTCAGCCAGAACGCAGAGCAATTCTTGCGTCTTCTTGATCCGGAAGCCCTCCATCTGTTGACCCGCTTCACCCCACTGTTTGAGTGTGTGATTATAGTGGTGGCCCCTATTCATGTTAAACTGCTCAAGCGCGACAAGGTAGTCCGCTCTGGCACGTTTGAATTCGCAGTTTTTTAAACTGTACAAGTTCAGTGCCTGTAACATTAGATGAAAGGGTCATAAATAATCGAATAAAATGTGGGACATCTCTAGGTGAGTGACGAAATATAATGGCTTAATAACACCATTAATGGTCAACACTGCGAATTTCTCACGGAAATACCACTCATTTGACTGGACTAGGTTCTATTTAACTTTTAATTGAATACTACGGATAGTTCAGTCATTTACAAGGCTGTAGACTATACTGCAGATCATGAATATAGGAAAAATAAATTTCTAATACATCCTTCCTAAAGACGCTTAAGAAATTATTGGCTTCTTATGCATTATGGAAGAAACAGGGAAGAAAAGCATTATACATCATAATAAAAACTTAGTAAAACAATCATACTCTGCGAACATGCACTGATAAAACGCTCTTCTGTGTTTAACTCCTGCGACGAGAGCATTCACAGATTCAGATAGATTGCATAAAATAATGTATACGTTTCATGTTGATTAAGGTACTCGATTCTGATTCAGCCCAGACAATCTTTTAACAGAAAGTGGTCTTTGATCAAGAAATATTACCAAAAAAAGTTAACCTGACTTTTTTTGGTTTATCTGGCAACGTCGGTTGGCTACTCAAGGACCCCAAATTGGAAATTTGGATCTCTCAACTCCATTT